AAGTGTGATGGGGAGCGGCTGAGGGAACCGGGGATGTTGAGCTGGAGAAAAGGACGCTGAGGGGGGACCTGGGTGCAGTTGTGGGCACCACAGGATAAAAAGGATCTAAAGCTCCTGGAGACCATCCAGAGGGACACAAAATTGGTGAAGGGTTTAGAGGGGAAGCCGTGTGAGGAGAGACTGAAGTCGCCTGTCACCAAGCCTGACATGATTCCAGCAGCATTTGGCCAAGGCACAGTCTGAATGTTGGGATTGTCCTGTGCAGGGACAACTCACAACAGTTGATTCTATGAGACCTTATTGTCACCGAGATTGAGAATAAAACTCCCTACCCTGGGTTGTGGAGTAAAGGGCAGGGGCGCTCCTCCAGCTTCTTGCTGACTTCATCCTTCTCAGGCAGTTCTCCAGCTTCTTTCTGCCTTATAGGGCAGGATGTTCTCCTCTTACGTGTCTTTTAGCTCCTTTTCAAGGGCACGGTCGTTAGTAAGGCTGGCAGTTTATACAGTCACTGGCCTTGCACAGGCTAAAGACAATGTGTCCCTTGGTACTTACTCAAAGCTAAACTAGGGCTGTCATGTTACAACTAAAAATAAAGAGTTTTACTTATTTTCTAACATTAGCACTCTCTACAACCACCGTTGTAGATAATGACATCGTGAGGTGGGTGGTGGTCTCTTCTCCTAATTTACAAGTGATAGGATGAAACAGCCTCAAGTTGTACCAGCAGAGGTTTAAATTGGATATTAGGAAAAAGGATGACAACACACAAAACTTTCAACACACACTTGAAGCCCTGTGGAGTACATTACCTCAGTTTTATCTATGAGCAAGTACAAAACAAGGATGGACTGAAATTCCAGGACTGCAATTCCAGTTCTGAGCTTGCATTGCTCCAGCAGCAGAGCCTTGAGCAGAGTTTTCAGAGCCCCCCAAGAGCAGGAACCCACACTGCCACGGCAAGTCTCGGAATGAAGAATGAAGTCCAGCACATGGAGCTGGGAGCCAGAAACTACACACCAAGGCCTGCAGCCCCAGAGGATGTACGCAAAATGTTCAAGACCTTGGCCCAAGGAAGGTCAAGTTTGAGTCTTGGAATGAAGAATGAAGTCCAGCACACGGGAGCTAGGAGCCAGAAGCTGCACACCAAGGCCTGCAGCCCACCATGGCCCACGGAGGACATATGCAGAACATTCAAGACCTTGGCCCAAGGAAGGTCAAGTTTTAAAAAACCAACACACACAAAGCCCAGAACGTAACAGTTTTATTGGGTAAAAAGGAAAGCAACTTCAGTCGTACACTTCAGTGAAATTAAAAATAAATAACTGATTTTTAGAGCCAAATATTTGAATAGTTGCTAATATTTGGAGTGGCCGTGTTTACCAAAGGGGGGCTGCTCATTACAGCAGAGTAACTTCTGTTGCTGGGAAAATCCACTACGGGTAAGAAAAGAGAGCGCCTTCGGGTGGATTCCTTAATGACATTCCGTGGGGCACTACCGGAGCTGAGCCCTGTGACAGCAGCTCCAACTCAGCCTTTGAGAGAGGACATCCCAGCTCGCATAATTTCGTCCACCAAGAGAATGTTGCTAGCGATCACCGTGCTAGAAATATTAAATAAATATTGTTAGAGTAACCACTTTGACACAGTTCAAAAGGGCAGCTTCACTTCTGCCTTTCAAGGCAGCTTCTTCCACACGGGATCCCTCAATTCCGTATTACTCTCTAAATTTCAACAATCAAACACCCACTGTGATATAAAGTGAAAACATTGTGACATTTACCATGAATGAAGCAGTTGCTTTTTGACATTGTAATTGTCCCAGATCCCAGCGGCTGCAGCTACCATCGGCTCACCTACAACAGAAGTACAACAGTCTTTAAATCACCAGCTCACACAATTCAAAGTAAGACTCTGCACTGTCTAACATCTGATATTACTTGTTACATCCAACACAGCGTTTTCTGCCTGCTTTATCTTCACAAAAAACTTACACAGAATGCATTTAGAGGGCATGGCAAGGCTGACTGCAGCAAGAGGACACCTGCCAAGGCATTCTGCACGGCTCTTTATGAAAAAGGTACAGCTTTCTGCACTCAGAGCAACTTTATTCTTCATGGAGCTGAGCCACGACAGTTTCTTACTAAAGCATCACCCCATTATTCTAAAAAGTTCTTACCAGTGTTCAGATCAACTCCAGTGAGTTGTCCCGACTCCGCGTGCTCTGTCTGAACCTTCACTAGTGTTTCCTGGGGATCGTAACCAGAGTTCTGAGCGAGAACCTTTGAGAGAACAGAGACATTATTTCATGTTGTTAATTAAGAGACCTCCAGCAGAAAAAGCGATGGGTCTGAGCGCACTTTAAAGCCACTTTATCCAGCGGTTCCTTGTACCTTAGGAATGATGAGCAGAGCATCAGCAAAAGCTTGAACTCCAAGCTGGGCTCGTCCTTTCACACTAGGTTTATGCTTAACAAGAGCATTAGCTACAGCCACTTCTAGTGCACCTGCTCCTGGGACCACACATCCTGCAAGGGAAAACGTGACATTAAGCCTTCACAGCAAGCACCTATTCCGATTTAAACAGTTCATTTTCAGTTTCACATTTTTATTTTTCACATTAAGATACACTCAGCGTGGAGTCTGGCTGCACTGGATACCAAGGAAGCCGATACAAAACTCACTGATTTTGAAGAAGTGACCTTCAACAGAAGATCTTTAACGTTGTTGAAGCAATCAGAGACTCACCGTCCTCAATAGCATTTTTAACAGCTCGCAGACCGTCCCTCACCGCGTCCTTGATCTGCGTGAGCGTATGCTTATTGGGTCCCCTGATCAACAGGGTAACAGAGCGGGGGTTGTCACACTTCTCAATAAACGTGTATTTCTCCTCACCCTGTAAAAGAAGGTTATGTATTCATGTCATACATTTGCTTAATCAATGTGTACATGTAATAAAAAAAAATGGACAGACACTTTTAGATTCAGTTCTGCACTAACAGCACTTGAAGAAGTGATGAGAAGCACCAGAACCTTATTTTTTGTTTTCTCAATTTTACAGAAATTAAAATAACAATTGGAAAACACGCTATGAGAACAGCAAATATCCAGATAGATGTTCACATACAAGTGGACACTGGGCTGTGAGATGCCACCAGCCTTTATTCATGCTCCAGTATAGCTCTTCAAACACTCAAAAATCCATGCACAAGCGTATCAAGACAAAAGCAAAGCTGGCATTCAGCGAGATGAGCAGGTGTATTAACCTGGCTTCAGCTGAAAGCTCAGTTTACTCACCAGTGTGTACTCATAGACAAGCCCTGCGTGTCCCAGACAGTCAGGAGTGAGATCCTCCACAGAGTTCATGGCGGTACCGCCACATGCAAGGGTCAGTCTGCGAGAGAACAAATATAAAGCAAGTGCTGAGCTGTGTTAAGGAAGATCTGAAGTCACTAACGTAACCATAATATTTCAGCAGGCAGAACACTGTACTTAGTGGGCATGGAACAGTTTGCTTCTGCTCATGAAAGAGCATTTCACAAAAATAAGCTTGTAGAATTAAGTCTCCTCTACAGGTGTCTACACTTGAAGTGTATCAGTAACTCAAACTACCCCGAGTTACACCAGTAAGAGCTGGACAGACTGAAGTGGTCTTTTTAGCGGAAGTCCTTGAATGCGGGTTCAAACCAGACCTGACTCACTGTTCAAGTTTGGAAGAGCATTTTACCCTCTTCTCTCCCCAGGAACTGACCTTTCCATGTTCCTCCTCTTAGCTCTCCTCAAAGCAACTATTCCTTCTTTCGCAAGGGCATCCAAGGAAAACGGGTCAATTCCCTATGAACAAATAAAGTGACCATCAGGATAAAGGCAAAGCTAAAAACACCCTGTCTCAGCCTGACACTAAGTTAGTTACATCTCAGGTAGAACTTGTACACATGTATTCCAAAGGGTATCAGCCTAAATTTAGCTATTTCTGTCTGAAGAACTGTACAAAGCGAGTCAAACAGCACACAGCTTGCCAAGAAAGCCAGCATCTCAAATTTATTGTTCTAGTTAAACCCTTCATCTCACCTTCTGGTTGATCACAACAAATCCTTTATCTGAATTGCCACAGACTCTTCTTTTCAAATCTATTATTTTCTTCACTCTGTCTTCAATGAATTTTCTTTCTGCTTTCACTAACTTCTCTCTCTCTTCAGCACTTTTGTAGAAGAATCCAGAGCTCACCTCTCTGAAAGAGGAAAAAAAAAAAACCCACAAACAAAAAAGCAGTAAGACAACTATCCTTTGTGATGCAGAAATAAACTTAAGCATAATAAACCAATCCTTCAAAACAAAACAGACAACACCACCTCCTCCAAAACCAGCACGCAACATGCAGCTGTCCCTGCTCTCTGGTTCAGAGCTTTTCCATTTGAGCAAACTCTGCAGTGTATTTAGATGTTCACTCTAGAATATAAAATTATGCTCAAGAAAGGATGGATCTCCAGCTTTTCTTCAATCAAAAACCAAAATAAAAACCACTACAAAGCTCTGCTTCTCAAAAGACATTTTCTGAGCCACCAGTTTCCCTTTTCCAAAAAAAAGGAGGCTGCAGGAGCATCACCTCTTCCATTCCTCCTACACTCCCTGCCTTGCTCTAGAAGAGTCTATGCAGTCCTTTCAGTTCTTATTTAAGCACACCTTAAATAAAACCCCTTTTTAAGACAGGAGCATTTTCTGCTCCTCACCTTGTTGCCGTGTACTTACGTTTTCTCATATTCTAGAGATACATTGCAAGTCAGAACATAAGCATCTTCCACTCTTTTCTTCATGTCAGGATGACGAGCACCATGATCCAAAACCAGCCCCCTAATCAGCCTGAAAGATTAAAAAGCATTTTGTGTGTCAACATAAACATACATAAGATACCCACTGCACGGAAACACAGACCAGTCAAAGAACTGACAGTGCAACTGGTCAAACACAAACTGCCTGTGCACTTGTGTTGGGAGCAAACAACAATTCTGTATCCCACTTCCAAGGGCATGCCCATTCTCATATAAAAAGCACACCAATCCGAGTGTGAGAAAGGAATTTATTCTGGCATAGTGTCTGACTGCATTAGCTACTGAGGAAAGCTAGTGCAGAATTCATCCATGCCACAGAGGTAAATATAAAGCCTATGGAATATCCAGCTAGCTGACTACGATCCAGTTTCCATTTATCGAATGCTATTTTGTACTTCACATCATCGAGCCACAGACATTTTAAGAAAAAAAAAAAAACAAAACCAAAGCATTTATTCCACATTGTTATGTAAAAGTTTAAGCCAGTGTTTCTCTTTGCTATTCAAAAATCTCATCAGGGAAGCAAGTTCATTGACTGAGCAACTTCTGCTGCCTAGATAATTTATGGCTGAAATCTGTATTTCTGCCTTTCTTTCACCCCTCCCCTAATAACTTCTCCAGTGGTAACTTTAGGACGTGCAAGTTATTTTAAAAAAGAAAACAAAACCACAGACTACTCAAATGTCAGGGCACCATTACACTGAAGCTCAAGGATACTCATTACTTACGCTGTGTCAGTTTCTGATTTGTGCTTCATCTCCATAATCTCTACCATGTGGAGGTCAATAGGCTCATCTGGTTTTCTGACTGTCAGAACAGAATCTACTACAGCCTGGAATAAAGACAAGGGGGAAAAAAAGACCATTAACCTTCCAAAGTGCAAGTTCACATCTTTCCATCCTCCCTTCACTCAAGTAATAATCACAACAGTTTTAAAACCTGGACCTCTTGATACAAAAAGAGGCAGAAGAGACACGAACACTTACCTCTGTTAGGATGTCAGCAAGCTCGCTATGAACTTTGGTACGGAGGGATGTTCTGGCAACATCTATAAGGGTCTCCCTGTCCATTTCCTTGGTTACTTTGACCTGCTCCAAAACTTCAAGTGCTTTTTCCTTTGCAATCTCAAATCCTTCTGCTACGATTCTAGGGTGCAAACCCTAACACAAGGATATAAGGGAAATTGTTAGAGAACAGAAGACAAAATGGTACTTTTTCACAAAGAGAACCTGTGGCTTCAACGCTCCATGTAACATCAGAACACAGGGAATGTGCATCCTACAAAGACAAGGAAATGTACTGTCCTTCTGAATACATCTAAAAGGAATGCAAATCCTTCCAATGCAGAGGAAAAGTACAGATTATTCTAGCACAGAATTAAAACCAAGGGAACTACAAAGCACACTTGGGTGTTCACTGTGCAGTAGGAATGTCTATTTTCCAACTTATACCATCCAAAATACCTAATATCAGAGGCTCTCCTTGTTAACATACAAGTTAAGGAAGCATTTTAACTCATATGGAACAGACAGAGGTAAAAGCAGGTATCAGACAGAACCTTATTAAAAACTAGTCTCCACAATAAGTGGTTTTGATTTTGAACAAGTCTGAAGTCCTCCTCTTCAGCTTTTCCCCATTTTACAAATTCTGTGATGCACTCATTTTAAGCAGAAATACATATTCATTTTCATTCTTGACTTATGAGTCTTAAGCATTAAACAAAACAAATTAAATGGTCTCAGGTGAAGCTTTTAAACTTGTCCACCTCCAAAAGAAATAACTGCAGACATACCTCAGAAATATAGAGATCTGCCTGCTTCAGGAGTTCTCCAATGATCAAGACATTTGAAGTGGTACCATCTCCCGTGATGTCATCTTGCGCTGTTGCTACTTTTGCTATCAAGGAGGCTGTGGGGTGTTGTATTTGCTGAAAAAAAATAAGAAGATCAGCAGAAGTCTTACTGCACTGGCACAAGAATCGAGCCATCAGTAATCAGCTAAATAAAATATTTAAGGACTGATTGATTGATGTTTTCATGATTCATATCAATTCAGTAGGTTTCAACAAGTAACACCAATTAACAACAATCACTTTGATAGGAAGCTGAATTAATCCACGTAACACTATTACCCCCTCAGATTAAAAATCTAGATACAAAAACATTGAGTGCTAAGAGCCAACTGATCCTCAGCTCATCAGGAGCTTTTCTTCCTCAGGGAAAAAGAAGACAACCATCACAACTAGACTGTTCCTGGCACTAAAAGCAGCATGTTTGGAGTTAATTTGGGCACCTCTGCATGATCACTGCTGTACATACCCTACCTGGTTTGCTATTCTTGTGGCAGTTTTTTTTACTATTTTATGTTCAATTAGCTTGTTTCTTGCCAGTTCTTCTGCTAAGTAGTACATTTGGTGTTCCAGCAATGACCATCAGGCCTATCTGGCCAAACTTCACAGCACCACACATGACTTTAGGTTACTTATAAAAGTCAGTTTTTTAATATAAGGAAGACACACATCACTTAAGATCTCTCATAGCTGACTGGTTTTAACATAGGTTGAAGCCTGTGAACCTACAGAACACTGTCCACATCTGAAGAGGTCGATGTTTGGTAACTACTAGAGCGAGATAAAATCCAACAGGACCATTTATCCTGTCGTTTGGCTTTTTATCATTATTTTATTTAAAGCACTATCTCTAGAGTGAAAGAACCAATATAATTAATTTTTCCTGTCTGCCAGATCACTGTGTATATTAGCTTCAATACTTTATGCTGAATCACAACAATTGTGGAGTGCAATACTCCACACACACTAACAGGCCCTGTTCAGCCTGGGAGGGGGGCACACTGCAACCCAACAGCCCCGGGCCCAGGGTGTTGGCCCCCAGCACATGAGATCCCGTGGGGCAACACCACCCCTTGTGTAACCCTCATCCCTATGGTGGGAAACCGTGGGACAACCCCAAATGAGAAAGCAGTACGAGCTGCATCCATCACCTGCATTTAAACACTTCCCAAACCACGCAGCCATGAAGAATTCAGCTGTCCTAGGCCTGCTCAAGCCCAACAGAAGCACGCTTTCCAGAAGTAAAAGAGGCAACAGAAGTGCCAGCATCATTATTTAAACGTTTTGGCTGTTTAATTGCCAAATTAGCACACAAACTTCCTTCAGCATCTAACCGAGCTGCACGTTTACCTTCCTCCCAGGAGACACGTGCCCCTCAGTGCACAGGACTAAATACCCCAGCAATGCAGGCGGGG